TCAACGTCCTGGCTCCGTGTTCATCGACACTCGGTATCGCGGCGACGGGGCGGAGCCGTGGAAGCACAGGCTCGCGAGCTGCTTCCCGAGGCTCCGCACGCTCGGCAGGCTGGAGTTTGACAACTCCTTGAACGCGTCGCAGAGTCAGTAATCACTCTCCTCGTCCCAGTCTACATAATACAAGCACTCACGATCCACACGCACTGCAGAGCTCGACCTTCCACGCCCGTACCGGTTTGGCCGTTACACGCGTGCTCTGAATCTCCCCATCATATCACGACGCAGACCTCTAAGAGCCTTGGGCCGTGCAGAATCGAAACCGAAGGTACGATAGTACACCCGCCCACATCCCGCGTGCCGCGCTGAAACTCTCTGCGATGGACAGGAACCACCGTCCCCAGACTTATACGATCTCAGTATCCATGAAGCCATGCTTCGCACTGACGCGGCGAGGAGCAGCCAGAACCCGAGCCAGGCGCCAGACAGGTTCTTCGTCCGTCCGCCCCGGGCAGGCTCGCTCTACACATCCGCCCCCGCCCCCGCCCCCGTCCCCGCCGCTCTGACTCTGAACCGTCGTCGTTGGCCGGATCTGCCGGCCGCGCACGCGCACGCGAACAGGAGCAGGAGAACCAAGAGGAGAAGAAGAAGGCTAGTAGCCCCAGCACCGGTATGCCGGCGGGGCAGGCCACCGTGTCGACGGGGCCGGCGCGTGCGCGAGAAACGACTCGGGGGCGGGGCCCGCCAGGATCGGGATCGGGATCGGGATCGGAGGCGGCGGAGGCGGAGGCGGAGGCAGCAGGAACGACGCGTGGCCCCCGGCGCACGGCGGCGGCTCCTCTGGCGGCAGCGGTGCCTCAGCAAGCAGCGGCGGGCGGAGTGTACGTGCAGCGCGAACGTGGCGTGCGGCTGCGTACTCGTAGTCGTGTGTGTGTGTGGATTCCGATCCGATTTCTGCAGACGGTGGGCGACGGCGGGCGCGGGTGAGTACTTGTACGAAGAGTCTGACGGAGATGGGGCCGTTTCGCTCACCTCGCTGCGTACTGGATTTGGAACAGGAGGAGGAGGGGCGTAGGGAGTTCGTCGGGAGCACCTGGGACGATGACAGTACGCAAGGAGATCGTATGCGAGTGTCGAGTGTGGATTCCTGCAGTATCCATCGGCTCGCCCCGGCATGGACATACTTACCGCGATGCGAGCACGCGTACGCACGCACGCGCTTGCGATCCATGGCATGCATCATGACTGAGACAGAGCCCGGGAGGGCGGCGCATACCAATAGATGTTGTGCGTCGTGCCCGGCGCGAACGATGAAGATCGCACATGGCGCGCACGGCGCGCACGGCGCGTCGCGGACCCGCGCAGGCCTGCTGAGTCCAATGCGATGTCGCACGGAGAGATGGGCAGCAGCGAGTCCCGGCTGGAAACCCAGTGCACATCGTACATCGAAGCCTGCGCATAAGCTGATCGGCGTGCACTGTCAGGCAGGCTGTGCGGTCTCAGAGCGAGTACCGTAGCCGCAGCAGCTCGAGCGACAGGGCAAGGCCGCACTGGGCGAGAGCGAACGTTGGACGTCGAACGTTGAACGATGAACGATGAACTGTGGCCCCCTGTGGCCACAGGCGGGTCCTTGGAGTGCTCGGCACGCCTAACCAGACTTGGGTCACTGCGCCGGGCCAGCAGCGGGAGTTGGACGGAGATGCATCAGTAGCGACCGCTGCCTTTGAGCTTGGTCCTGTTCGCGCTGATGGTTGAGGGACGTGGATGAGTGAGCACCATAAGTTACTTTGTACAGTCTCCGTGGACGGGGTGGGTGCAGTGCGAGAGACCGTTCGCGCGCGGACGCCGGAGGGGTGGGGTGTGCGCGAGCCTTGTGGGCAACAAGGGCGGGCCCGAACCCGGACAATATGGGCAAGATGTGGACGGGACGGGGGTCGTGGTCCCGCCTGCGGGCTGAACCCAAGAGAGCGACGATTCGACCGAGGGTTCGGAGCTTTCTGGCCGGTCTGGACTCGGGTCTAGCAACGACCTTTCGTAGGTGTCGTGAGATCGATCACAAGACAGCGCGGGACGGATGATGCGGTTTGAGCGTTGATGTCGGGCGTGGCTTGGGGGTCCGCTGAGGAACCAGAATACGAAATGCGAGATGCGGTATATGATGGGATGTCCGGGAAGGGGAGCGCGAGGAGCACTGACGTCCGCTACGTACCCGGAAAGCTCGAAGCATACACAAGTCGCGCCGCGCCGGGGACCGCAGCCTGAGGATGGCACATGGAAGACATGTGAGCCAGGTCTCGAGTAACTGCTCGCTCAAGGCAAGGTTCAGCGGCGAGTATGCGCAGTTGCAGGATCGCATGCACGCGAGCGCGGCTCAGTGCGAGATGTCAGAGAACGGGCTGAGGGCGCGTAGTCGGCAATAGCCATGGCGGAGATCGCGCAGCGATACACTTACTGAGTGTCCGCTGCGGGAAAGCAAGCTTTCCGCGCCGGATTTAGCTTGCATAGCAGGCTTGAAGCTCCGTGCGCAGTGGGTTGAACCGGTGAACGCCAACCTTTTTTTCTGCCATAGCGACGGGGAGTTTGACGTGTTTTGTAATGCGGTGAAACGTGATTGGGTGAGATGCGACAAGTAAAATGGGACAGGGATCCGAATGGGAGGATACGATACGTATATATACCTGGTGGTGGTGCGTTGGCACGAATTCGATACGATATAGTGAAGGAGTTATGCATTCGCGCGAGGTCCGCAACAACCCTCTGGTCGCTGCGCCGCGTGGCCCTCGCGCAGAGGCTGAGATACTGTACATAGCGATTCTGCTCTTGAACGCTTGATCCCTGCTCGGGCGGACGCGCGCGGCGGGGCCGTGGAAGTGAACGGGGTGCAGTGCGAGAGGCTGCGAGAGGCCGTTCGCGCGCGGACGCCGGAGGAGTGGGTGCGACAAGCTTGGTAGTCTCCGCGTAGCTCGACCATATAGAAATAGATGACAGTACTCGATCCATTGTTTCATATATGCGGCAAGGGCGGGTCTTGGCGGGCTGCGGAGGCGAGGCTGAACCAAAGAGAGCGGCGGTTCGACTGGGGCCTCGGAGCTTTCTGTTCCGTGTGGACTCGGGTCTGGCAGCGACCGTTCAGATGTGTGTCGTGAGATCGATGACAAGGCAGCGCCAGACTAGGCAGATGATGAGGACGTACTGAACGGAGGACGGACGGGCCAGACGGGTTGTACGGTTTGAGCACTGGATATCAAGCGTGGCCTGAGGTCCGAGGATATGATGCAGTATATGACGGGGTATCAGGGAATGGGGTGCGACGAAGAGCACTGGAGTCCGCCACGGGCGTGAAAAGCTTGAAGCATAAGACGCGACCGCAGCCCACAGCTGAAAGAGATGTGAGTTGGGTCTCGAGTGTCAGTGGCGACTCACTGCGAGATGTCCATGTCGGAAAGCGTGTAGTCAGCGATAGTCATGGCGGAGATCGCGCGGCTGCCAGAGCTTGGAGAGTAGGCTTGGAGCGCCGTGCGCAGTGGAATGAACGCGTGACGGCATCGATATAGGTAATGCTTCAGAGCAGAACAGCATGTCACGTATCATAGTGAACGTCTCAGTCGTCACGAAGTCGAATCGAGAGTTGGGTGCTGGAACCGAGTTGGTGGCCATGACGTGAGACGAGAGATCCTCAGTGTCATCGGTGACCTTATGGACGGTGCACCATATGTGGACTGTATGCTAGAGGCCAGCAGCGTGCTTACGTCGGCGGCGCAGAGGAGGACACATGGACGTGGCGTCCTCCAGCCTGCCAGCCCTCCCGCTCGTTGGAGCCCACCGTCACAGACCGAACACGAGACTCGACGGCGCGCACGACAGGAACCCGACAAACGTCAGCCGTGACTCCAGTCCATCCACATACAACGCAGCTCACCTTCCCTACCCGTCCATGCACACGTGCGGTCGCCCGTCTTGGACGCCTTCATCCCTCCCCTCCCTGTCACCCTCGCGTCCATATAAACACCATGCCCCGCCCAACTCCTCCGACTCTTCCCCATCTTCCCTCCCTCTCCCAATACCACTGAACGACCTTTCCCCAGCACCATGAAGTTCATCGCCGTCTCCGTCCTCACCGTCCTCGCCGCCTTCACTGGTGTGCATGCCCAGTCCTCCACCACCTCCGGCGCCGTCCCCACTTCCACTGCCGGTCTCTCTTCCTGCCTCATCGGTTGTGTTACCCAGGCGGCCTCCAGCAGCGGCTGCTCAAGCTAGTCAGTCTTCCCCAACAACCGTGAATGACGTCGGATCCCCCGCTGACGTCATACCTTAGCACCGACTTTGCCTGCATCTGCAGCAGCGACCAGTTCCTGCAGCAGGCACGCAGCTGCCTCGAGAGCAGCTGCTCCGATCAGGACGTCCAGACCGCTGAGAAACTCCAGCAGGCCGAGTGCGGTTCAGGTAAGTTCTTCAATTCCGACCCACCCTCTGCCTTTCCCGCGCCTCCGCCATCGTGAATCGCCACCATGCCCTCACGTCGAGCTTGTTCGGTCCCTGATCGCCGTCAGCTCGTCACGTTGAGCGGTAGCCTGACGTCGGCCGCGTCGTAATCATCGTGGACTTGGAAAGGGGTACAAGTAGTCGTAAATTCCCATTCTCGCAAACTCGAACCTGCTTTTCTTGCGTGGTCCCACGAACATGCACCGTTAACTTCTCACAAACCATTGTTTCTGGCGGGACCGTTCTGCCGGATGGTTGACTGCTGATTAGACCGCTCGACCATCTCACCATGTTGTTTTCATGCATTGTTGTCTCCCTTTGCCTAAAGCACGTCGAAAAAACGAGTGTTGTGCTGGCGGAGGTGCGGGCCCACGGCAGTAGTAACTACATCACCAAGACCGAGCTTGCGCGATTGAGCATGCGAAATAGGGCGACATAAGACGACGTCAATGAATAATGATGGATAGTTACCGTCTGACTTTTGTGGTACTGATAACCGCACACATGCCCCAGGTTGACATGGTGAGATGGCCGAGCGGTCTAAGGCGCCAGACTAAGGTATACCATCATTGCTTGCTCAATCTGGTCCGAAAGGGCGTGGGTTCGAATCCCACTCTCATCAATGTCTTTTTGTCTCTTCAGACTCCAGAGAAGGTCGAGGTCGGGTACCGCCAACGACGGTGTCTCTCATTCATTTCACCGGCGATCCAACAGGGAGCATGTATTATAGCACCCGTGGCTGGCCGGGTGTCTGCCGTTCAACGTCTACGCGCACCCAGAGGCTGGGGAATGTGCTGTTCCGAGTAAGGCGCGAGGTTATCCGCGAGTCTTCCTTGAAGCCAGAGTCTATGCAGTACTTACCATCAAATTTGGTCGGTACTCATCGCGGTGGCAGTGGCATGCGCACACTGCCCAGCTGGTACCGGCGAGAGTGACCACGACGGGTAGATACTGGATACTGGATACTTGCTAGAGAGGAAGGGCCCGGCGGAGGGACGGGATACTGACACATGCCATTGTCATTGTCATTGTATAGAAGATACAACAGGAAGCGAACGGAGGGAGCGCACTCGGTCAACGGTGCGCGGTCGGTGCGGGACAGTCGACAAGGTACAACGGTTCAGTCATGGCGTTTTGGCGTTGTGGCGTTGTGGCGTTACGAAGTTCTGGCGGTATGGCGTGGTAGGGTACGAGTACGGTAAGAAGGTGGAAGGAACGGACGACGGTGGTGACTTGTGAATCTACTTATGGCTACAGGTTTCGGGGCCGGGACATGCGCGATGGTGGCGGAGGGGGCGGAGGCAAGTAAAGCACTGCAGAGCACGGGGGTGGAACGCGGGACATGTGCATGAGCATGAGATCTTGAGAGCTTGAGACATGGGACGTCGTGTGTACCGTGACAAGGGAGTGGAAACGGAAACAGGGACTGATACTACACGTACAAGCGGGACAGGAGTGGGGATGGAGACGGGCTGGCGCGAGGTGTACAGTGCTTTTCGAAGGAGGTGGAGGTGGAGGGAGGCCTGGAAACGATGCAGGGGCGAATGCGTGTATGTATAGGTGTGCAAGTGTGTGTGTGTGTTGATAACTTAGGGCGGGATGCATCATGCGGGACACAGGTCTACGATCGGAGCGAACACGCAGCGGAGATATGTACGGGCGAGATTGGAGACCAAAAGTGAGAGGCGAGGTGAAGCGAGGCGAAGCGACGAGAGAGGGAGTGAGGGAGATCCGATATATCACACGTGTTTCCGTAGGGCTGAGATGGGCGTGATGTGGGACGCGCAAGGGAAAGGGCGAGATATGGAGGACGAAGGGCGCAAACAATAGCGTGTCGAGGTCAGGGCGACGGAGGACATGAGCGAGCGGGAGTAGCGTCGGAGGGCATAGCAACGTGCACGATGTGTCGTCCCACACCCGACACGTCCTCTCCCTCACCACGCTCTCCTGGCATCGTGGCTAATACATCTGATTGGGGCGGTCATCGCCTAAGGACGAAGGATGAGCACGCGTCACTGTCTCCGAGAACAACGTCACAGAGGACTCACCATTCGCCTCCGTGTACGCAGATGACATGATATGCCGCAGGTTGCGACCCTCGCCCTCGCCCAGCCCAACCTGGGCACCACCAATATTCGCGTCCTCGCCGTCCCAGCCCTCGCCCGACCCCTGTACCTCAACCGTCAACTCACCGCCCCCAACTTCGTCGTCCTCCTCATCCCGCGCAACCTCGAACAGCCCATCGACGATCCGGCTCCAGCGCTCGAGCACCCACAGCACGACGGCAGGGCGCACGTCCGGCGCGCCGCCCGCGAGCGCGCGCCCGAACATGCGCACGACGTCCTCGAGCGACACCCCGTTGTCGGGCGACAGCGGTACCTGCGTGAAGAAGCCGGCGAGGTACACGAACAGTGCGAGCTGCGGCGGGGGCGCGAGCCGGAGCACGTGCTGCGCGAGCGCGATCTGCGTGCGCTCTTGCGCCTGCTGAGCGCGGGGGCTGGATACGGGGGGACTGGGATGGGCGGACGAGAAGGTGGGGGCTACGCAGAGCTGGTGGAGCGCATGTGTCAGCTGCTGGTCGAGGAGCGGCTCCGGGAGGGCGTCGAGGTAGGTCTTGAGCAGTGCGCATACGTCCGCCGTCGCCTCCTTGCGGAGCAGCGGGCGCGTCGCAGCTGTCGTCTCGTTCTGAGTCAGCGTCGACGGCGGCTGCACAGGGGCGCGCGAAAGAGGGAGGTCGAAATCGGCGACGAGCTTCGCGAGGCGTGCGAGATGCGGCAGGGCGCGGAAGAGGCCTGGCTTATAGATGCCTGGGGCATGGAAGATTACAATGAGTGCCTTGAACACGGGTTTAACGGAAAGAGCGGATAAGGCAGATCTACTGACCCGTACGATCCAGCTCATCCACGCATGCATGTACGACCCAAGGGATGTAGTGCTGAAAGCCACCTATCCTGACGGGCATCGACCCGCACTTGACTGCGACGCTCACATGCGCGCCAAACGTCTCTGTGTGTGCCAGGCAACCGTCAGCGTGAGTGCCAACGAGGACTCTCTCGCGCAAAGCGGAGCAGAGCAGCGAAGAGATGGATCAGAGGGAGAAGAGAAGGATAAGGGACGTACTGAGATCTGCGCCTCCGCGCGAGTCCAGACCTCGCCGCTGCTGCACGCGCCACATGTCGACAACGTGTCGGACGTCCAGGCATCCCTCGAGCCGCACGCGCACTCCTTCTCCCGCACCTCCTTCCCGGTCCAGAACGGCCCTCAGGGACTGCAGCACCGCGCGCGGGCTTGTCGGCGAAAACACGGGGACGGCCGCCGGCTCGGACGTCGATCGCGGGCGCGAGGGCACGGACGGCGGCGTGCGGTGCGGCGTGCGCATCGAGCGCGCGCGCGACCGCGAGCCGTCCCAGGGGATGAACGAGGGCGTCCGGCCGGCCTTGGCGGGCTCTGGCGAGGAAGAGGAGGAGGATGGCGAAGGCGAGGTCGCCGAGGTGGAGGGGGCTGCGGTCTCAGAATGCGACGATCCAGGTCTCGTGCCAGCACGAGGAGACAGGACGACGACAGAGAAGGACGGGGCCTGGCCGCACGCGCGTGCGATGCGATCGGACTCGAGGTCCATCTGAGAGAGCGCGTTCAGCTTGAGGTGGGCGAGAGAGGCCGCCATGGGGGATCGTTCGAAAGGCTGCGAGTGCGAGAAGGAGCTCGGGGTCGTGGCTGACGAAAGCGAAGACGAGAGAGAGTGTAGGGAATCAGGGTAATGCATTCTATAAGCGCGAGGTGTTGCGGAAGCAAACATGCAATCAGTTATCCGCCCGGGAGCAACAATTGACGGTTGTTGAGGGTGAAGCGGGGAGCGCGTCGAGGCGAAACAAGAGAGAGCCCCTGTAGCGCAACGGATGCTGCCTCTCGCAGCGGGAGCGCTCGGCACGCAGTCCAGGCTGAACCCGTGGTGGCGGGGACGCGGATGTTGCATATCGGGCAAGGGTGGTGACGACGGCGAGCTGGGCCAGGACATCGGAAGCATAGAGCACACACGTTCGACAGCAAGCAATGATGACGAAGGCGAGCGAGTGTGCGATGTGTACGGGCAGAGTGGTGGCAGGAAGGAGGAGGAGGGGAGGGGAGGCTGACAAGAGAAGGAACTGGGGCCTTCATAGTGGGTATGGGACCCTCAATCTCCGTCCGTCGCTTTCGCGATTGCGATCCCGCCGGCAAATTCCTCCCTGCCTGCCTGCGGTATTCTACTCCGCTGAGCGCAGTCTGAGCCTGTACTCGACTCGATCAGTGCCCTAGAAGATTCCGACTGGTAGGCAGATGCGACAGACAAGAGTGGCGGAGAACATGTGGTTCGCCACCGGGCTAGGCCGCACTACCCAAGCATTCTGGCCACCTTCCCGCGCAGAGCTGGATCAACGGCCGTATCGCGCGATGCCCATGGGTCTGTTCCGTGAAGTCGCCGGATGTGGTAGATAGGTGGGACACGGCTTCTCGGCTGGATGTATGGGCGGTGGGTAGTAACGTTCTGAATGAGGAAGCTCTGCGAGATAGCGATCGTCGTGAGCGTCCAAGCTGCTAAGTCCAAGCGCAGAGAATTACGCTAGATAGCTAAGAATGCACGAAATTGGGCGTTAGACGCAGTCCAGGCTGCTGCCGACCAGGAAACGGAATCTCTGTACGTACCAGCGAAGAACGCTCGCTTACGGTCGTATTCCTCGCTTCCGCGGTACCGAGTTACCCAACATGTCACTACAGACTCTGTCACCAGGCGTAGTACGCAGTATCGTGGTGACCAGAGGGTAAGGCCTAGACAAGAAATATCATCAGCGTTATTCTCCGCGGGGGGCAGTACGCAAGTGACAGAAAAGGGATGGAGTGTCCTGCTCGCAACATGTGCATCATGAAAGTTGGCTAGTGCCGTTCGAGTCCTTTCGCGTCGTCTTGCACGACCGTTCGCATGATATAGAGAGCGGTACGCACCTCCGGCCAATCTCTGCCGCAGCAGCCTGAGTATGCAGCTGCGAGCTTCTTGCCTACGTCCGGCGCGATTCGCGCGATTCACAAACAATGCAGCAGGAACGAACCGAAACGGTCCAAGACAGGAAGCCACTGGGCAGACGCCTCGGGCAGCATGTGCATGTTTCCGAGGTTGAGCGTCGGGAGGAAGCTTGACGAGCGAAAACCGGTAAGCCATCGCCCACTGATGATCTGTGACTGAAAACCGTTCACTGACCGCATCGATACGATCTTCCAGTGTCCAGTGTCCGCCCTCGGCTCGCCGCGCCTACCCAGGCTGTCTGCTCCCCGAGCGATGGTAGCTTAGTTGGATCTGGTCTGGGGATGGCGTTCGTGCGCCTGGAACATGTGCGTCAGAGTCTTCCAAGACCCAGTAGCCGCACTGACATACTCGTGCACGGTCTCCGCCCGCTCCTGAAGAATCTGATTCATCGGTTCTGTGTCCGCTTCAACTTCCGTGAGCATGTCGATGTCTTGGGGCTCAGGGTTCTCCTTCCGGAAGTCTTTGGGACGTCAGTGCGTACCTCCTCGTGCTTCCGAGAGCCAGCCGTACGTGCGACCACCTCGGCGCGCCTCTCCTTCTTGTGCTCAACGTAGCGTAGCGTTATC